GTGATATGTGTGTGTGTGATATATGAGAGAGAGAGGTATATATATATATATATATATATATATATATATATATATATATATATATATATATTTCCATATTCTGCCATCATCGTGTCTTCTGGGACTGAATTATAAAAGAGATCAAGCTCATGTATTCTGGCATAACCCTAAGAAACAAATATCTGATGACTATTTTATTAATAGCAAGTAGAAACAACATTATAAGAAAATGGTAAAATGGTTATCACAGGACAAACTAACTTTAGGCCCCTGGATGGAAATAACATTTAACTCTCAGACAGTGGCAGAGTTGGGTGAAACTAAAAGATCTGATTTTATTTTCAGAAACCAAACACCTCATAATTACTTAACAACATGCTTCTGTTAGTTTGTTTTCTACATTTCTAACCATTTCAGTTTTTATTCTTTACATTCTGTTTTTACTCCCACAGTGAAAATCTTCCTCAGGGAAGTGGAGTTGAATCATGAGGTCAACTTGTTATGTATGTATGTCAAATGTTATGTAAAATTTGCTTCCTTGGAAATAAAGTAAAAAAAACTGCTTCAAAAAGGAAAAAAAGATAAATAAAATAAATAACTGCTTTTCTCCAGGCCCCTTTATAGAGCCAGCGGTCTAGTCAAATCACGGATGCATTCAGAGTGTTTCATGGCGTCAAACAGGAAATTACCTCTGTCTACTTCCTGTGTAACCTTCCTGGTTTTCCTCCAGGACCGGCGTCGGGAACGCTTGGCTCCTTCCTTTAAGCTGAACCAGAAACCTCCAGAAGCCCAAACCGATCAATCAAATTCAGAAATACTTTATTGATCCCAAAGAAAATGAAATGTTTGATCTGTTTCCCTCACAGATTTAAATAAAGTTTAGATTTTATGATCCTAAACTCTGATTTAGACTTTTGCCTTATTATCCATCAGTGAAGACATTTTAGTTTATTAAGACACCGGAACATTCTACACTTATTGTTCTGTTGTATGAAAACCAGAACCGACCTGTGACCTGCAGAAGAACCAGAACCACGAGCAGGTGGGTTCAGAACGCGCGAGGATGTTCCATCCCAGGCTGAACCGAACCGGACCGGACCGGGCTCCTCTGGGTCACAATAAGAACAACGCTCAGCTTCAAGCCTCACAACTGAAGCGAGCTCAATCAGTTCAACGTGAACCTGGAGCAGGTTACGTGATCTCAGCCTATCGCCATGGTGACAAGGCAGGTTCAAAAGGTACCGGACAGCCCGGCATGACGTCACGCAGCCTGGAAAGTCCCGTCCTGGGAGTTTAACGTAACGGGTCGTGACGTCATGACGGCTACGGGTATTATTGTGATCAATCACGGATAGATTAAAGAATTGATTTGAGTTTAATTCTGGCTGACTGAGCAGGGAGCGCGCATGCGCCGGCCGCGAGCCCGTCTATGGATGCGGGAACGCGCACCTTGGGCCCTCGCGTAGAACTGAGTCAAGCAGAGCTCAGAAAACAGGTCAGAGCACTGGAACTGTTAGCTAACATCTTCCCACACCGAACCATATTCGGGTCAGAACCAGAACCGCGGGTTTACCTGAAAATAAAGCGATATTTATTTTTGTTTACTTCCTTACCTCCTCTCTGCTGCTCTCGGCTCCTCTTCCGCTGCTCCTTTGTCAGCTGACCGCGACTGACCAATCAGCGAGCAGGCAGAGGCGGGGTGGGACCTACAGGCTACCGTAATATAGGAAGAAGGGTACCATCTGTAATCTGAGCCCTTCACATTACCTCGTGGATGAATTCATACAAAATAAAGTTTAAAGAAAACAAAAACGGGTCACAATTTATGAACTTATACCTGGAGGATGTGAGTTCAGAATTAAAACACAGGAAGAACATAAACCGCAGAAGGGCAAAGGGACTAATTACTACGGTAAAGACAAAAACCAGAAACTAAAAGTGAAACTGATCAACCAGCTTAATAAAAATAAAAACATGGAGGGTCAACTAAGTAAAATATTTAAAAGTTAAACTGGAGGAGTTGCAGTTTCAAATAAGAACATATATTTATATAAACATTTGTAAAGTAGAAGAAATAAAACCATTTGCAGAAAGAAACGGAGAGCGATTACACATGAAGGAGAGAAAAACTAAAACTGATTTTGAAAAAGGTTAAATTAGCTGCTCTGAGTGCTCACAGGCGACCCCTGCTGGTTACAATAACTTGAATTGACAGAAACTTGGCTTCAGAAACGTCTGACAGCTTTATCTCCCACACTATGGATTTCTGAGTCTTCTGAATATTAAAGACCATCAATAAGAACAAATTATATTCAGATCTCTGCTTAGTTAAAGCAATTTCTAACAATTCAACTGAAAAACAAAACTGAAACGAGAAAAACTAAAAACCTGCAAAACCCGGTTAAATCAGTGTTGAAATCACAGAGAACCTGATTCATCCTCATTACTGTTCAGCTGTCTAAGTTACATTTTCCTGACTTTTGCTCATTTTGGACCCTGGGCCTCAGAAACCTGGTGGAGGTTGTATCATGATCTGGGGTTAGTCTTTGTAAAGATTGATACTTTTATTATTACATTGTTTTATTGTTAAATAGTGTTAATGCCAAGACACACTGGTTGTTGCTGCTTTAATTTACTCGTCAGTTTTTCAGTTGAATCGTACAGGATGAATATTTGGGAATTATTTGTTCCGTTCCCAGATAGCACATGATGTTAAATCAA